CACAGCAACCTGACCGGACACAGCAACCGGTGGGGACGCAGGAACCTGACCGGACTCTGCTACAGGGGGGGACGAAGCAACCTGACCAGACGCAGCTACCTGCGGGGGCGGAGTGTGCAGGACGAAGAGACCTGAGTGGGGCTCTCTGGTGAACGTGGCAAGAACTGCCCCGGTGGAAGAGTCCGTACAGATCGCAGTCCTCCCGTGCGCAGGAAAAGTGACTGTGATCCCCCGGTCCTGAAGGTATCCAACACCCACCAAGTTCCGAGAGAACGAGGGGATGTAGAGACCAGTGAGGAAACCAGAGGGGACAGCTGGGAACGGGAGAGTGGTCGAGCTGCGAGCAACTGCTGGTCCTGAAGTAGGATCAGCCAGGGAAACTGGGACTGGAGCCGAAAGAGGTGTGACAGTGGTGTGGTCGCGGAAGAAGCACTGAGACGCGCCGGAGTCCAGCGTGAAGGAGAGTGACGCAACCGCAGTCGTCACGGCTGGGCTAGTGACTACACAAGCACCTACACTAAAAGCACAAGTACCGACACTAGCAACAGGCAAAGGTCCTAAGCTAGGTACACGTAAGCCAAGAGATCCGTACGTGACAGAATAAACAGCATCCGTAGACATATCAAACACAGGGTAACCACTACGAAACAGACCGGGCCAGATCGGGGGAGCCGACTCAGGCCCAAAACGCTCACGGTAAAGGTCGTCGAGGCGGCTGTGCAGAGTGGTCAGGACGCCAGCAAGTAGTGCCAGCACCAGGGCTGGTCAGGATCCGGTACTGGCAGGGGCCGACGTCGCGGCCGCCGCGACGAGCCCCCCAGCTGGCTGGGCCGCTGCTGCAGCCAACGCTACCTGAACCACCAGGCCCTCACGGCTGCTGAGGGCGCCACAGCTGCTGAGGGCGCCCCTGCTGCTGCGGAAGCCACTGCTGAAACGGCCACTGCTGTTGTCCCTGCTGCTGGAGAACCCTAGTGGACTCCATGATAAAAGCTAGCGGGGTGCAGGAGCGGCAGGCCAGGAGCGACAGGAGCTAGGGACGGCTGCAGTGAAAAACGACAACAACTAGGAGTGCCAGGTGAAACTAGGCGAGGAACGGCTGGAGCACGGAGCAAACTGGGCTAGAAGCGCCAGGTGAAAATAGGCGAGGAACGGCCGGAGCACGGAGCAAACTGAGCTAGGAGCGAGGAGCGAGAACAGCTGGAGCGAGAACGGCTGGAGCTAGAACGGCTGGAGCACAACTGGCTGGAGCTAGAAACGGCGAGCTAGGGCTGGCTGGAGGTAGGAACGGCCGGAGCTAGAGACCGTAAGTGCGGCTGTCGGCTGCCGCTAGTAGAGCCACTGGCAGTGGAAAGTACGTGCGACAGTAGGGGCTGCAGTACTGACGGTTGCAGGATGTAGGCAACTGTGCAGGTCATCCGGCAAGCAGGAACGCGGGCTGCCTCATGTACCTGATGGCTTGTACTCGGCCGGACCTCGCCTTTCCCCTCAGCATCCTTTCTCGCTTTGTTGCGACTGGGAGACACCGTCTTGTCCACTGGACAGCTGCTGTGAGGGTGGCGAAGTACCTGGCGACTACATCAGGCATGGGGCTTGTGCTTGGAGGGACTCAGCCAGTGGCGTTGACTGGTCACTGCGACTCTTCCTACGCTGACGACGTGGAGACTCAGCGCTCGACTCAGGGTTACTGCTTCAGTCTGAGAGCTGGCGCTGTGTCGTGGAGGTCTACATGGTCGTCGTCTCTGACTACTTCCAGTGCAGAGGCAGAGATCTGCGCTGGTGCCATGGCGGCACAGGAGCTTTGATGGTTGACCTTCTTGCTCGCCGACCTTGGTGAGCGGCCTCGCTCTGCACCGACCTTGTACGCTGACAACAAGTCCATGATCCTCCTCCATCGAGAGCCTCGACTGGAGAGCAGAGTGAAGCATATTGACGTGAGGTACTTCCTCCTGCGAGAGCTGCAGCGACGCGGCCAGGCACGCCTGGACTTTGTGGCCTCAGAGGCCAACACTGCAGACGTCTTCACCAAGGCCCTGGCACTTGGTGACCACCACAGGTTCTTTGTGCAGTTGGGGCTTGTTGAGGTAGGCCCTCGGTTGCTGTAGACTTGTTGCTTGCTCTGCTTGTTGTGTTTTCTTATATATATCATAGTGACCTCTTGAACTGGCCTTGTGGCCGCTTGCTTGTGCTCGGAATTTGTGTGGTGTCCTTGAGATCCACCCTGAGCTTGCCTTGCTTCTTGTCTTGACTGGTCTTGTGACCGTTTGTCTGCCTTGCTTGTTTTGATGCCCCTCACTTAGCCTATGGGGGTGTGTCAAATGTTGATGTTTGTGATAGGCTGTAGTGAGGTGCTCCGTAGTGAGTACAAACATGTTAGGGTTTCCTAGTTGTACCCCAACTCCTTTCTAGTCAAGCATTCCGTTGCATTCTAACTTTGAGACTACTCATGATTCCATCTTAGAAATGAACAGCGGAATGGTTGCATTAGGGTTGGGAAGCAGTACAAATAGGAACCCTAGCAATACGGTATGTTGTACTCCCTACAATGCTACTCACTGTAACCTACCGTCATCGCCCGGATAGAAGACATATATGTCTTATCTTATACATTAGAAAAAAAGCTTGGTGTGTCTTGTAATTGGGACGGTTTAGGGTGTCTTATAATTCTTATAAATGGACAAAAACTTGTTTAGAAGATACCCCCTCGTCATAAGATTGCCCCTAACCCTTATACTGGCTTAACTTGTACACACCGACAGGTGTCTTATATGTCAGAATGTGATGTTTGTGTAGCCTGCAGTGGGGTACTCTATAGCGAGTACAGCCCGAATTAGGGTTTGCTATATGTACTCAACTGCATGTTAGTGAAAATCTCTCTTTCCTGTTTCTAGCTTGTGCCTGCTGTTTCGACATGCTATCATAGCAGGTCGACCCTCCTGGGTCGATCCTGTGGGTGGGCCCCACCCGATGCTTCCGCTGCTCTACTACCTGTAGCGCGCCCCGGGCGCGTACTGTTTCCTGCCTGCCGCGCGCTCCGGGCGCGCAGCGATTTTTCTTCCCGCCGCGCGCTCGGGGCGCGCGGCGGTTTTTTGCCCCGTCGAACCGCGCGTCGCCCCCTGTCGACCGTCGCGTCGACCCTCGGAGCCGCGCGCGACCCCCGCTCCCCCGTCGCGACGCCCTGGGGAGCCGGGCGCAGCCCCCGCTGCCTCGTCGCGACGCCCTGGGGAGCCGCGCGCAGCCCCCCCCCCCCCCCCGCTGTTTCGTCGCGGCGCCCTGGGGAGCCGCGCGGCCCTCGCTGCTTCGTCGCGGCGCCCTGGGGAGCCGCGCGCGGCCCCCCGCTGCCCGTCGCGCCGCCCTGGGGAGCCGCGCGCGGCCCCCCGCTGCCCGTCGCGCCGCCTTGGGGAGCCGCGCGCCTGCCCCCGTCGACCTGCGCGCACGTCCCAGTCGACCCGCGCGCCCCTCCCGTCGAGCCGCGCGCCGTCCCCCGCGCTCCTGCCCGCGCTCCGCCCCCCGCTGCTTCCTGTGTTAGGGTTTGGGGGTGGCGAGTGTGGGGGTGGCGAGTATGGGGGTGACAGGTGTGTGAGGCCTTCCCTGCTCCTCCTCCTCCTCCGTCTCCCACTGCTGCAGCTGCCGCCGAGGGGGGTGGATGTGTTGGAGCCGTCGGAGTAGTACGAGGGGGGGTGGCGTGTGAGCGGTGCTAGAGGTTCAACAGGGGGTGTGTGACAGGGGTGTGGGACAGCTGGGGGAAGTTGTGTGGAGGCAGTCGTCTTGTCGTCCGCAGCGCCTGAAGTCCAGAGAGCCACGACCCCCTGTGGCCGTGTAGTCCGGGGCTCTGCGCCCGGTAGCCACAGTGTGAGCACTCCTGGTATCCAGAGAGCCACGACCCCCTATGGCCGTGTAGTCCGGGGCTCTGCGCCCGGTAGCCACAGTGTGAGCACTCCTAGGAGCACAGCGAGCCAGCTACGCTTGTCGCCGTGTAGTCCGGGTTTAGCCTGGTAGCGACAGTGCTGCGCACTCCTGTTGCCCGTGTGTCTGCAGCTTCAGTCGTCGTCTCGCATCTTCTCGCCCCCACAGTTTCTCCTCCTCCTCACTTGCCCTCTGTGATAGCCTCTAGCTTTGCTTATAATTGTGAACTACTGCTCTGCCTGCTTGTTGTGTTGATTGTACCCCACTTTGACTATGGGGGTGTGTCAGAATGTGATGTTTGTGTAGCCTGCAGTGGGGTACTCTATAGCGAGTACAGCCCGAATTAGGGTTTGCTCTATGTACTCAACTGCATGTTAGTGAAAACCTCTCTTTCCTGTTTCAAGCTTGTGCCTGCTGTTTCGACATTATAATCAGGAACACCCATCTATAAGATACACCCGTTTTAACGACACCCCCTGTCTTCAATTCGACACTGTCTTATATCCGGGCGATGACGGTAACAAGAGATTATAACATCTGACAGAAGGTGCTAGAGAAACAACTGTGCCAAGGGGAGAGGGTCGAGAGGAACAAGTGGGCTGGGGCGAATGTTACGGGTGAGTTGGGGGATGGGGCAAGAGAGTGGGATGGGAAAAGGAGCGAGAGATACAGTGTGGGTGGAACTCAGGGTGCCTAAAATCTGAAACGTCAGCCGTGGATGACGGCAGTATGTCATAGCTTGGTATACGGTACAATCAATTGATTTTCAGCGTAAAATTGTGTGATGGCTCTGATTTTTCAGCGTGCCCCAAAGCCAATCTATGGGGTCCAACCAGGGCTTCGTTTTGGATTTGGCCTACTCACGATTGGCAGTGTAGCATTTTTTCAAACCCTTCTGAGCAGTGTGTAATTTTTCATTACACTGTTAGAGCAGTGTAACATAAATTTTTGAAATTTTCACCCTGCAGCATCAGTGTGGGATTTTTCCGTACACTGCAGTTGCTGCCAAACTTGGGTTGCGTGTCGTGCTGGCAAGGGAAATAGCGGCCAACGCACGTGCTGAACGGAAGGTAACATCGGGGCGTGACTGGCGGAAATCACGCTCTGACAAATCTCGGGGAAAAGAAAGGGGGAAGGGGGGGGGGGGGGGGGGGGGGGGGTCTGTACGCGCTTCAGTGTATTCTTCGATAACTAGAAAATTACCTTAAGGCATCAGTGTGGCCTACAACGATACACTTACAGATCAGTGTAACACTAATTCACAAAACAATTACCCCAGCCCATCAGTGTAGAGTCAAAATTTCACCCTTCTTATCAGTATAGAAGGGTAAATTACACTGCAAACCTGAGCCCTGGGTCCAACTTCTTTTCTCATGGTATACAATCGATTGATACCATTCTATCCACCCCAGCATTGATTGGAGAACGGTATGCCAACCAGCTCTAAACAGGTTCTACTGTGATAGGCCCATGGCAAACATGAAATTCACAGAAGGGTGGCCACCAGCTCTTCTCAGCCTCAATAAGTCTTCCTCCTGTGAAGCAAAGGGGGGGTTACGTAGAAGCATCCAAACCGCCTCTGGAGGCAGTCTAGACCCTTCAAAAACAGCTGGTGCTGTCTCTCTGCTGCAGTCAGTGCTAAGTAGTAACCCACAGGCTGGTTGGATCTGGCCAGTGCAGTGTCAGGCAAAGTTAAGTTAAGCAAGGACCTTGGGGCAGAAAGTGGAGCAGAAGCGTCTGAGAAGTAGTTTGTCTCCCCGTCAGTGTAGAATCTCTCCTCATCTGCCTCCTCATGCTCATCGATGCAAGTAGCATCATAATCTCCATCATACTCCATGTCATCCATGTCATCCATGTCCCCTTCCTCTTCCTCATCGTCCTCCTCCTCCCCCTCTACAGTTACGTGAAGGCCCGTCAGTGTAGGGGTGTTAGAGAGTATCGAATGAAGCAGGAGCAGGCCTTCGGGTGCCTTGTCCGCGATTCTCACTGTAAAATTTTCTAGCTGAGGCCATAAACAGCCACTATTAAGTGTACCATCTGAACCAGTTTTCCACTGTGACTGTAGAAAGCCAGACACCACAGCCGAGTCAACCATATTCTGCCACGCCAGCGCACCCAATCGCAAACTTCTCAACCCCGGGCAGTTCCGCGCAAGCCAGGGCAGCGACGAAACCGAGGGCAGGCCCGAGCTGCTGGTGGCAAAAAAATCGAGGGAGAGCGACTCGAGTGCAGCCGAATTGGATGAAATTAGGGTTTCGGTGGCGGCCCAGTTGAGCGAGCCCGCACGGAGGTCGATCGATTCGAGCCGGTTAGAGTGAGGCGCGGAGACGAGCAGGGAATTGGCGGAAGCGGCGGATAGTTGGCGCAGGTTGGGCGCGTCGCGGATGGAGAGCGCGCTGAGAAACATGTCGCGGATAGAGAGGGATTGGAGGGAGCGCGCGGAGTGAAGCGAGACGGATTCCGCGCGGATGTAGGAGAGCGAGAGGTGCTGCAGGGACGGGGGAAGGCGTAGTTCTAGGTAAGGGAATCCCGACGCCATGAAGATCGTGAGGTGGCGGAGGTTCGGCGCGGCGTCTAGCACGGCGTGAAGCGCGGCGGGGGACGCGTGGAGCCACGAGAGCGAGAGGTGCTGCAGGGCCGGCATGGACTTGAGAGTGGCGAGCAGGGTCGGCGCGGAGAGGGACACGTGGCCCAATGAGAGCGAGCGCAGGTTGGTGCAGTGGCGGGAAACGTGCGCGAGATGCAGACTCGCGTCCTCCTCCTCCCACAGGTTCACCACCACGCTCCCGTCGCCGCTGCCGCCGCCGCCGCGGCCGCTGGTGCCGTTGCCGCGAGGGCGCTTCGCGGAACTCGTGGCGGGAGGAGCGCGTGAGAGGGTGAGAGAGTGCAGAGACGATCCGACGTGGCGCATCCACGCCTCGAAGATGAATTCCCGCGGATGTCGGGGCGGGGGGGATTGCGCGGAAGCGCCGCAATCTTGCTGGCTGCAGGAGGCGCAATTTGCGCATCCGGGGAGTTCTTCCGACTCAGTGGAGTAAGGTGGACGTCTGCAGAAGGTGGTAGGTCCGCGGCTCGGAGGAGCGGAACGTCCGCTGGGAGTCATCATAAGACCTCCGCCGCTGGAGGTTCCGTGACATCCGGCGCTTGACAGCGTCTGGCTGGGGTGGGACGGCCCTCCGTGGTTTGGATGCGGTGCGGGAGGCGAGATGATGGTGAGCTGGCGCAGGCCTTGCGTGCGGAGGATCATTCGCGACGTTTGGCGCTGATATGTGGGGGTGGGGGAGGGGGGAATTGAGGGCGGAAAAGTGAGCGGCAGAGGAAAATGGACATTTTCCGCGCAAATAGGAAACACAAAAGCGAAATAACAGAACGAAGAACATTCAACACAGACGCAAATCTCTAGGTCAGCCATGGCAAAATCTGGCTGAGGCGCGACGCTCACCTCCAACGTCAAGTACGGCTCCTGGTTAGCAGTCGCGCCTCCGTCACTCGATCCCAGGCACAGCGCTGGCACGTTCTGCGTCACTTGATTCCACCGCCGACACGTCATTGCGGCCCGGGTGACATCGCGTGCCGCGCTTCCCACGCGCGAGAGGATCGCGAGCAGCAGATCGTCGGGGAGACGCGCGAAGGGATCCATCCTCGCTAAAGATCCACCTTATAAGATCACAATACGCTCCACCTGAACCTTTGGTAGCACGGTCCGCTTGGAAGTTTGATTGTGCGGCACGCTCAGCGTGATGAGAGGTTGATTGTCCGACGGTATTGAACTTGAGCTCAACTTGAGCTTCACTCGTTTCTGGCCATACGGAAGTCACAGCGGAGAGGTGAGTCGGACTCGAGTGCGTTCTTGAAGGAAAGAGGACTCCGCGCTGCTGGGTTCTCTCCTGCTCCGTTTCCTGCTCGTTCGCTGCTGCTCCGATCCTTGCTCCTTTCGTCGCTTTGTTCCGCCCTTCGAATGGTTCTCGCCTTGCTTCTGCGGCGAAAATTCTCAAGGGCGTGGCGCACAACGCCGCCGGTGCGAACCGGGTGCGCTGTTGCTGCCAGCAGCAGCGCACGCGGAGAATGGCGCGATCGCTACTGACAACGCAAGCAGCGGAAAAGGGGGGTAGATGGCGGGTATTTCGCAGCGATAGATTGTGAGAGCATCCCACAGTCAACTCCGAGGCCACCTTGTTAGATGACGATAGCTAGTAACGATATGTTGCTCCTTGTCCTTCAGAAAGCAAGCGAGCATGCACGCCCGCCCCGTCTAAAGGTAGCCTGCCTTTTGTCCTTTCGGCTGCATATAGCGGTGTGTCACTTTCTGAAATCTCGCAGAAGTGACTCAAACTTCAGCTGCATATATAGCGGTGGCAGCACACGGGAGGGGTGCAGCGCGAGAAGCGTGGCGCATTACAGTCGGCTTGGTGAGATCTCTGGCTTCATGCGAAGATGACGTTTGAGTGAGTCAACTCAGAAAAGAATCTACTAGACTTCCGCCAAAGGCGCCATACTAGAGGCTGGCGATCAACTTGATCGCCAAAGCTTGCATATTTATTTTGCAGGTCTTGATATTCGTGAACAGTTGCGGTGACACGTGGACACGCAGTAGTAAACATTTCACGGCCGACCCAACGTTTTCGTCCCAACACGTGGCTCCACATCCCACCCTGCAATGCTCAACCTCAGAATCGCTAGCTCTAGTCAGCACTCTCTTGGAGGGCCTCCAAATCATGTCGTCCATTTTCGCGACGCCCGTCCGTGCATCAAAGAGTGCGAAGGAATTCTACAGCAGTAGGTCTTCTGTTTACTGGCCCCAGTGATACGGGAGAATCCTTCACTGGCGGGAATGCGCAACGGCGGAGCTCGGTGACAGTACAGTACATTATTTACAGCGCCTAATCGTCGTGCCCACGTGAACCTTGCTGTTGTTTAGAAGCGAGGGGAAGGGAAATATTTAACACACGTGACAGGAAGTATCGTCGAAGACGGCAAACAAAAAATCCCTATGATGTAAATATCGCCCCGCCTACAAGCTGCCACGCGACAGCAGTTGAGGTCAAGAGTTTTAATTCACACGAAAGAGCAGTGTTGACGGCAGAAGCTTGGCTGGGAAGCTGAACTAAGCTTGTTACAGTACAACTAGGGAAAATAAATCCGCTGCAGATTTCGCATACGTCTTATCGATCCTGATCGATGCCAGACTGTACAGTAACAGTTGCTGTTTATAAGTTGGATGAGTGTTTTTTGTCTGTTGGCCCTTGTGCCGTGTGAGGCTGCCGAATAACGGCAACAAGTCCACTCACAAGCTACGAGCATGTTTACGAAGCGGTATGGTAACGGCGTACTCCATTGGACTCTTGCAGAGGCCTCACATTCGACTGCACTTGGACGCAGTACTGCGGCATGGTGCGGTAAGTCTTGCTGATTGCATTTCATTGCATGCATGCAAGCACGGGCCAAAGTCTTGCGTGTCATGGCCTTGGTTCAACTGTGCGTGTTCAAATGGAATTGGCCCCCCGAATGGATGGATATTTCGCTCGTGTGGTGGTTGAGCTTGGCTTCGGCTCGAGGTCGTTTGGTTTGGGAGCTGTAAGCACGTAGACATCATTTGGCGCAGGGTTCTGTATCGAGTCGCATTCTGTTTGCCTGAGATCCATTCGTCATGGAGATGCGTGAATGTGCGGTTCGAAGTCGGCTGAAGCGAGCCGCGGAAGAGTTGAGCAAGGAATGTATTCTGCCAGAATTCTCCGCCGTGGGATGCGGAAAGTGCCACTTGCAGACCACGAACGGAAGAAACCGTACGGTTGAGATTTGAGGGGTCCATCGAAACGCGTCAGCACCTGACAACGACGTCGAAATATTGTTTGCAGAGAACATTCCTCAGTTGCAGACCCCGGTATAGAATGAACACGATAATGATAAGAGTGATTTGCGTATTACATGCCACAGCTTGTGGCAACTCAAGCCAATGAAAGGACTAAAATAATCGTTGTCATGCCAGTCTACAGTGACCCGCATCTACTGCAGCAAAGAAGCGAAGCAGATTATACAGGAGCAGGTGGCGGGAACCTTTCCAAAACAGTCCGACCGAAGCAAGCAGCTGCTCTATGTCCTGATGGATGAGCGTCGAGTGCAGACAAAACATGTGATACAGGGACAGGGACGAAAAGAAGGGGTGAGGAGGGGAAAGGGGAGCAGGGGTGTTCGAGTTAAAAAAAACGGCCTGAGCTTATGAACATATCAAATGCATCCAGAAATACACGGCTGGCGGATCAGGAAGAGGGAGTTAATCACAATGCACATACCAACAATGTACGCCGCCCAACACCATGCCATGCTCAGCAGCACCACAGCCGCCCAGCGCAGTGAGCGCTAACATTTCCCAGCAGCACTACGGCACATTCCCCACATCTGAACTCCCACGGCACTCACATTCCCCAACAGCAGCTCTCACATTCCCCAACAGCAGCTCTCACATTCCCCAACAGCAGCTCTCACATTCCCCAACAGCAGCTCTCGCATTCCCCAACAGCAGCTCTCACATTCCCCAACAGCAGCTCTCACATTCCCCGACAGCAGCTCTCACATTCCCCAACAGCAGCTCTCGCATTCCCCAACAGCAGCTCTCACATTCCCCAACAGCAGCACTCCCATTACCCAACAGCATCTCTCACATTCCCCCTTGTGAGAATCAACGCAGCACTTTCATTCCCCAGCATCAGCACTCACATTCCCCAGCAGCACCATGGCACATGCGCATCGCCCTGCATCGTGTGACTGACCCATGTACAGAGCCAGCTGAACCTCCACTGCCCCTTCCACTCCCATTCCCCCCGCCCCTGCCGTCCCCCCTGCCCCTGCCATTCCTCCTGCCATTACAGCATTACCAACACCACTGCTACTGCCGTTGCTCTGGCTGGCACCTCTCACAACCGCCTCCCACCCCTCATCACCGAGACCGCTCGCCCCATTCACGCCTCTCCTACCCCCCAGAACCCCCACAGGGGAAGCTCCTCTTTCCGAACCTCTTTCCGAACCTCTTTCCGAAGCTCCTCTTTCAGGAGAATTGCACCTGCTGCCTCCCCTGCGACTGCTCCCTCCTTTCTCCCAGCCACTCCCCTTGCTCCCCGCGCTGCCATTCCTGGGCAAAAGTTTCATGTCACTAGCAGATCTATACAGCAGCTGCTGCCGCTGCTTCTGCTGCTGCTGCTGCTGCTGCTGCTGCTCAATCTGCTGAGGGAAACCAACTCTCCCTAAGCCTCCGCCTCCCCCTCCCCCTCCCCCTCCGCCTCCTGCTCCCCTTGCTGCCACCCCTCTCCCAATACCACCCACCCCTGCCCCCGTCCCCTGCAGGTGTATCAGCTGCGCTTCCACTCGGGCAGGGGGGTGCCGGTCCACCATGAGGCAACGAGAGCCGGCGAGCAGGATGGGGTAGCGCAGGGGCAGGTGCAGGTAGCGCGCACAGAAGGAAACAAGCTGGAGGGTGGGGGGGGTTGGGGTGTTGGGAGAGAGGAAAGGGGTTTCCACTCGGGCAGGCGGGTGCCGGTCCACCATGAGGCAGCGCGAACCGGCGAGCAGGATGGGGTAGCGGAGGGGGAGATGGAGATAGCGCGCACAGAAGGAAACGAGCTGGACGGGGGGGGGAGTGAGGGGGTTGGGAGAGAGGGAAAGGGAGCAGAAGAATGAGCTGCGCCTCCACTCTGGCAGGGGGGTGCCGTGCCGGTCCACCATGAGGCACTGTGAGCCACCCACCCCTGCTGCCACCCCACCGCCACCCCCATCCCCCTTCCCCCCCGCAGGTGCATCAGCTGCGCCTCCACTCTGGCAGGGGGGTGCCGTGGCGGTCCACCATGAGGCATCGCGAGCATTCCTCCACCCTTGCTGCTATCCCTCTCCCCGTACCACCCACCCCTCTCCCACTACCACCCACCCCTCTCCCACTACCACCCCCCTCCTTTCTCAGCAGGTGCATCAGCTGTGCTTCCACTCGGGCAGGGGGGTGCCGGTCGAGCGCGATCCGGCGAGCAGGATGGGGTAACGCAGAGGGGAGGGAATGGAGTGAGGTGGGGTGGGGTGGGGTGGGGTGGCACAGGAAACGAGGAGCAGGTAGCGCACACAGAAGCGCACGAGCTTGGGGGGTGGGGGGCGGGGGGTGGGAGGGGGGGGGCATCAGGAATGGAAAGGAGAGAGAGAAAGAGGCATGAGGCAGAAGGAAGGAGCGAGCAGAGATAGGGTGGCGCAGGGGAAGGTGCAGGCAGCAAGGGAAGAGCCTTTACCTGAGCAGTCAAGCCCAAAGCAGCGTCATGGCGTTGCCTCGCACCCTCGTCTATGCCTGCAACACTCAAAACACTTTCTCCCCAACCCACAACACCGTTCAAACCACCACCCCACTAGCAGCAAAAAATGGCTCTTACCTGAGCAGTCAAGCCCAAAGCAGCGTCATGCCGTTGCCTCGCTCCCTCGTCCATGCCTGTCCCTCCACCACTGAACAGTGACTGTAGCCGAGGTGCTGTTATCAGTGGCAGCCCCAATATAGTCACATCCACTATCCTCCCATCCACGCCCGCATCGTTCCTGCTGCCGCCCACTCTGGAGTTCACAACAGGCTTTTCGTCGTTCGCTATAGTCACATCCCCTCCGCTCCCCTTCTTCCCTTCCTCCTCCTCCTTCCCCTCCCTCGCCTCCCTCCCTTCCCCCTTTACTTCCCTCCCTTCCCCCTCTGCCTCCTCCATTCTTCTCCCTCTATCCATCAGCATACCATCGCTAAACACCCTCCCTTTCTTCTTACTCTCTCCCCTATCTTTCTCACTCTCCCCGTCATCGTTCCCACTCTCCCCATTATCAGGCACCCTCTTCCCCTCATCTTTCTCCCCTCCCCCTCTTCTTTCCTCCCCTGCCCCTGCCCCTGCCGCTGACACTCCCGCGTCCCCTCCCTTTTTACCCCAGAAGCCCCAACCGCTCCCCCAGCTGCCATCCGCGCTCGCCACGTGTCTCAATGCGGTTGGCGGAGTGGGGGACGAGGCGGAGGAGGGGCGGGCGGAGGAAGAGGAGGCGGAGGAGGAGGAGGAGGAGGGCCGAGGAGAAACAGAAGAGGAGGAGGGGGTAGAGGAGGGACGAGAGGAGGGGGAGGAGGAAGAGGGGGAGGAGGAAGAGGGGGAGGGGGAGGGGGAGAGGGGAATGATCCCCGCCAGTTGGACCAGCATTCGTCGTCGTCTAGTGGCCAGCCGCCTTCTCACTGTCAGCTGTTGCTTCGAACCTTCCTGGGACAGAAACCGGTCCGCCTCCTGTGGGTGGGTGGAAGGGAAGGGGGGAGGAGGGGAGAGGAGGGAGGGGAGGAAAGGGGGAACGGAAAGGATGGAATTACAAGGAAGGGAGAGGAGCAGACGGGATTAGAAGGAAGGGAGCGGGAGGAGAGGAGAGGATGGTATTACGGTGGGTAAAGAGGAGAACACGGGAGGGGCTGGGCATCAAAACAAGGTCAGATAATGAACGGGGCTCGCTGCTAGTAGGATTAACCATCCCTTTGTAATTTAGCATGTCATATCGTACCACTAATCTTGTCGAGGCAGCTCTTAACGAGTGTCTCGCATCCTTAAGCTCCGCTCTCCGCCTCTCCACATCCGCACGCTTGTCCTCCACCTCACGCTGGGCTCCCGCCACGTCAGCACGCAGCTCGTCCAGCTCAGCACGCCGGGCGGCGACCCGCGTGTGCGCTGCGACTAGAGCCTCGTGACGGGCCCAATGAGCGGACGACACGTGGATCGCTTCGTCTACAAGATCAGAGGTCTGCTGCCTTCGACTATTGGCTACTCGGATCACCTCCGTTGCTTCCAGCAGACACGTCAGCATGCGTTGCATCTCCTGCCACGTCACCTGGGTCGGTGTCGTGGCCATGACGACGTGGCGCTATGGTTATTCAACTAATACTAGAGCGACGACATGGCTAAAAAGTCTGAAATCGTGTTCTACAAAGTATGGCAGTACTAATTACACCGGAGAACGGTCTCGCGAAGCGCTCAATAGTGAATATATTCAGTCTAATAACAAATTGAGATACCGTTTTTCGTCCTAAATGACATAACTGGGTCCAGCGTTTGTATTTACAAGAAACAATAAAGTCGCGCACCGGGAGATGCAAGGTCGAAATCGAACAATAATCTCCCACCACTAAGAGATACTTAATCCGACAGAATCAGAAGCTTACTTCCGCTAAGTTCTATGGAGCAGTTTACGCTCTGCTGATCCACGTGGCGCGATGTGAAGCATCTCCTACATTTCAGGAAAAAGAGCATCACGAGAAACAGGCGGGAATGGTGGAGGTGGGTGAACTCGGTGCAGTTGTTAGCTTTCGATGTACGCGAAAGTAAGAGATTCGTTGTTTTCGTTCTAGTAATCTTGAAATCTTGGTGCTACATTTGAAACAACTTAAAAGATAGTGTCAAGATTAAAGTGTTTTAATGCTCAGCAGTAGTTCTGAATCTCACACACAATAGCGGGTATTGACAGGTAACGAAACTTCCCAAACAGTAACGAAACTTCCCGCTGCGCTGTTGTCCTGGACGGCAACTTTACCGGTGTGGCGACTATCTTAACGGTAACTGCGTCATGGCATCCTCCGAATCTCCCATCCGTCCAAGCGCCGATTCTGCTGACCGTGCCGTGACCAGTGTCGTTAGAATCGCACGACGAGGAGCCACACCCCCCGTTAGAATCGCCACCATCCGTTGACGTATGCCCGATCTGCCTGACCCCCTTCGCGGACTCGCGATTCGAACCCTCGCGGAACCTTCTGAACGGGGATAGGGCATCCCGCGCAACCCCCCAGCACCAGCGACTGATGGGCGCCAGCAGCGCAAATCGAATCCGAATCGGCGCCGGAAGCAGCAAATTCCCCCCTCCCCGCTTCCGACAGCTCACCCTCCTCCGCCGCTTCGCCAGTGGTAACCCTATCGCCGATCGTCGCCCTGTCCCCCTGCATGCACCGCTTCTGCCTGCCGTGCATCCGCCGCTGGAGCTGCGCCAGCCGCGCAGACCGCGCCACTTCCGCCAGTCGCGCCAGCTGCGCCTCCCCCCTCCCCCCATGCCCCCTCTGCAAGCGCGCGTTCCGCGGCTGGTTCCTCCCTGCTGCCTCTCCTGGGCGTGACTCTAACCATGGTGACTATAACGGGAGGGGAAATTGCCAGCCTACGCAGGACATTGCGGTATCACCTACACAACAATGGGGTGTGTTTCAACCGCTACCTCCGCTAACAGAACAAGAACGTGCATCTACAGTCAATGCGTTTATAAGAGATGATGCGGCTACAAGCACCCTCGCTACAGTCACATGGAGCGAGGGGTTGGATGAACGGCTGAGGCAGGAGGCGGCTAGCCGAGGGGTGCCGGAATGGGTGCTGCTTCCTGATTGGTCCACTGTGGGCGGCAGGGTGCACGGGCAGCCGCACGGGCAGCAGCATGGGCAGCAGCACGGGCAGCAGCACGGGCAGAAGCAGGACCAGCAAGGAGGCCAGAGGCAGGGGAGGTGGAATCTGGCTCGCAGACGGTTACAACGACTGAGAGCAAGGTGCGAGCTCGTTTGATTGTTGTTTGATGATCATTTATCATTATTACTTTTATTATTATTATTATTATCATCATCTTCTTCGTTAAGGCTGGGTTATTGTGGGATGAGTGGGCAACGGCCTTCATATAATATCTGTGTGCAATGCAGGCACCGCCAGGAGCTGCAGCAGCAGCAGCCGACACGCAGTCGGGGTGTGCAGCAGCTCTCTCCATACTTCCTTAGAATGCAGCGACGCCTGCAGTCCAGTCAGCATTAGGGAACACCTTTAGCATTAACCACTGAAGCAGTAACAGCAGTACCACCAACTGCAGGGCGTGCAGCAGCTCTCTCTATACTTCCTCAGGATGCAGCGGCGCCTGCAGTCCGGTCACCATTAGAAAAAAGAGCAGCAACCACTGACACATCAGACCTGCAGTCACGACGTGCAGCAGCTCTCTCCACGTTTTTTCCAATGCAGCGGCGCCTGCAGTCCAGTCAACGCTAGGGAGGACCTTCAGCAGTAGGAGCATTAACACCAGACGCAGTAACAGCAGCTTACTCACAGTCAGGGCGTGCAGCAGCTCTCGCCGTATTTCCTCAGAATGCAGCGGCGCCTTCAGTTCACTCACCATTAGAAAGGAGCAGAAGCAGTAAGAGCATTAACACCAGATGCAGTAACAGCAGCCGGCCCTCAGGCATGCAGCAGCTCTCTCCATACTTCCTTACAATTGCAGCGGCGCCTGCAGTCCAGTCATGACTAGCTAGCAAGGACCATCAACAGTAGGACCATAAGCAGTAGGAGCATCAACACCAGACGCAGTAACAGCAGCTGACACGCACTCAGGGCGTGCAGCAGCTCTCGCCGTATTTCCTCCGAATGCAGCGGCGCCTTCAGTCCAGTCACGATTAGAAAAGAGCAGAAGCAATACCGAGTCTTACAGCGTTTTGTCCCTGGAAACCAGTTTGGCGTCATCCCAGGGAGAAGGCCGGCAGATGCTGTTGCATCCAAAGCTGCAGCCACAGCAGCAGAGGGCACAGGCAGCGTGTGCAGCAACGCTGGATGCAGTGGCGTCTGCAGTGTCATTGTAATTCGTAAGAAGCAGGAGTAGTGACAGCTGGTGCAGCAGCAGCAGCAGCAGCAGCAGCAGCAGCAGCAGCAGCAGCAGCAACAGCGGACCAGCGGGCAGGGCGTGCAGCAGCGCGCAATGCAGCGGCGCCTGCAGTGTAAATGACAAGGAGCAGAAGGGGCAACAGAAGCAGCCGACCTGCAGGAATAGTGTGCAGCGGCGCATGCAGTCCAGTCAGCACTAGCCAAAGGCCGACGAAGTGAACCCAGAAGCAGTAATAGCGTCATGAACTGCAGCAACAGCAACCGACCAGCAGGCAAGGAAAGCAGTTTTAGTGTCATGAACTGCAGCAGCAGCAGCCGATTAGCAGGCAAGGCATGGTGCAGTTTGTACCATACTTCCTTAAATTGCAGTCATCCACAGAAGCCGTACCACCAGCAAGTTAGCCTGCTCATTTTCATTGACGTTCTGACTCCCATATGCACTGTTGTGGTAAAATGAGCAGCTAGAATGCACGTCATTGGCAGCTTTATGCTGACAAACAAAGCTATTGGTAATATGACACAATGCCTACTTCTACTCTGAACTGTGCTTAGGTCCATGCGTACGCTAGCTATCCTACTCACCCCAGGCTGCCATGCCATGCCATTTCTGGAACAAGTGTACTGCCTGTCTCTACCTCCAGATTCTTCCACCTGCGCTGATCCCTCTGGTTGCCATGCTAGCCATTTCTGGAAAAGGCCATACGGTATGGTGGTTACCGGTACATGTTTACAGAATTCTGTCAAAGTTGGATGGGAGGAGCGGTTGGATGATGGCATCGGGAGGGAGCTGAGGGCAAAAAGGCTACACGGCATGACCAGATAGGAGGGGGATGGCGGGGTTTCTGCTTGATGGGTTAGCTGGCTGGAGCTTGGTTTGGGCGGCACCCTTGGGGTGTGAAGCTGGAGGCTTGTACCTGGGGCCTGGGGCCTTGGCAATGGGGCTTGGGTCTGGGGAGTTGAATGGGCATCACACCACCACCCGTGTGCATAACGGGGAAAGGGAGTTATGATGGAAAGAGAGAGTGATGATGGAAAAGTTAGCTGGAAGTAGTGGAGGGTGGATGGAGGCGGTGATTAGTTGAGGTGGTGTAACGAAATAAAGGAGTGAAACCCGTCGCCTGCGAATTATATATCTCTGCTCCAATTCGCCTTCGTCGCATGCAACTGCATTCGCCCAAACATCTCCAGGCAGAATATCCCAGCGGAAACGGGTCGTCAGGCCTGACGACCCGTTGACGACCTGACGACATGCTGCCCCGGGCAGAAAAAAACTAAAACCCTATCGGATGGCATGCCATCCGAGGGAGGCATCAACCCTAAATCCATGCCTCCCCGTGTTTAGGGTTGATGCCTCCCTGACCGGATGCATGCCCGAATGGGTTTTATTTTTTTTGCCCGCGGGCAGCGAGCTCCCCCGGGCGGACTCGCTTGTCCGCTGAGATATATCAACCGGAAGCACCCTTCTCCACCCATTCTACAAGATTCCTCTCTGTAATCAGGTGCCCCGAAATTCCTCCATAAAGCTCCTCGAATTCAGGAACCAGCTCCACCCATTGACCTTGATTCCTGCCAGTCACCGAGATCGACGTTCGTTACAAACCCTCCCACGGGGTGGGATGAGCCGGGTTGAAGTGAAGTCCCCCCCACCTGGCATCCTTTCTCCCCCCTTTCCCCAGCCTCCGCATCCTTATCCCTCCTCTTTCCCCCTTCCCCTCTCCACGCCCCTCCGCCTCCCTTTCCCATCCCCATTATCCCCAAATCCTCCGCATATACTCCGCATCGACTCCGCAGATGCCCCACAACTGGCTTCCTTCTCAATGCAGCGCATACTCCTTCCCTCTAGAACCTCCCGGCCTTTCCTCCCCCCAGTTTCCCTGATCTTATTCCCCTTCCCTCCTCCACGCCCCTCGCCCCTCCGCCTCCCTTTCCCGTTCCCTTTTTGTCCAAGTCATCCTCCCCATATACTCCGCATTGACTCCGCAGATGCCCCGGAACTTCTTTTTTTTTCTCACTGCAGCGGATTCTTCTTCCCCCTCGAACCTCCCGGCCTTTCGTCCCCCCAGTTTCCCTAATTTTATTCCCCTTCAGCGCAACTTCCTAAACTCCCTGAAGCAGCCGCTCTCTTCCCCAGAGCTAACCGTTCCATTCACGCATTCTCGCTATGCGAAAGAAAACTGCGGCCGAAGTATTTGGCAAGTGGAAGTCCTTCAACCGACGCCGCTAATGACGGCGCCAAATCTCCGCGTACCAGGATTCCGACTACCCTTCCTCCGTCGTTTAGCGATTACGACTAAGTGCGCTGTCAGGAGTTCGCAAGAACTCGGCCTTGCGTCGTCGGGAGCTCTAAATAGGACGAGTAAAGCCACGTGCCTTCACGTGGAAAATAACATCGCGATGCGCACCCATTCCACGTGGACGTGCTAACGACATGGATGCACTACGAGGTTGATACCTTCCTAACGCTGCTGTCTCCTATCTATGTCATCGAGAAAATAACTTAGCTCCAGCATCGTCGAATCTACGGTTTTCCCGCGCTCACTTCTCCTTATGCGGCTGGAGCGCACAGACCACACCTCAACACGGCTAGCCAGCAGCCTGGAAGAGAAAAAAATGAATCTCTGCAGCTCATATGTTTCCCTAACCACAACCCCGCGCTCGCGATTCCTCTTTCTGGGGGGACTTGGAACGACACCGCGCCGCCACCAACGAACAGCGTTCACTGAAAAAAAAACCTCCCCGGCCAATCTCAGCTGCTCCCCTTACCGCACAGCAAACGCTGCTACCCAGCAGCGCCTCATGCGCCAGCCGCTATGGGCACGATCATCACCGCGTCGTCCCGCGGATCTGCCTCTATCCGCACTCTCACCGCATCAGCTCGCGAATTCGCTTCCGTTGCCGCCGAAATTCTTATTCTTTGCTGCTCCGCCACTGCCTCCGATCCCGCCACCCCACTTTCCGCCACTTCCCTGACTCCTCCCACAGATTCCGCTCCCTCTCCGCCATCCGAACTCTCCATGCGCTCGCCGGGTTCCGCCCGCGCGTCGTTTTCTTGGGCGGCGGCTGTGGCGGGGTTCCGGAGGTCTCGGCGGCAGATGGGGCAGGTGGTTTTGGCGGCGAGCCAGAGGTCGATGCAGTCGGCGTGGAAGCCGTGTGCGCACGCCGGCACCACCTTGATGCGCTCGCCCGCCGCGTACTCGCCCAGGCACACCGTGCACTCGCGCAGGCTCAGGATCATCGCATCAGTGTCACGATCGCCCCCTAACTGCGGATATGCTGCCGCGACGCCGCCGCTTTTTGCCGATTTCGATTTTTCCGCCTCATTTTCGGGGCGGAAAACTATAACGGGCAAGTTTTGAATCACGGAAGGATCAAGGCCAGGTTTCGCGAAATCCGCATTGAATCTCGCAACGACACGTCGTTCAGAATCGCTCGTTCCTGGGTTCTCCTCATCCGGGCCTAGAAACATGCAGTCGGGACGGCGGTAGAGGTAGACGGCGAAAGAGATGACGAAGACGAGGACCATGCATGCTGAGACCGCCGTGGCGAAGGTGAGAGGCGAGATGGCGGTGGTTTCTGCGACGAGAGAGACGCAGCGAGACGCGCAGTCCGGGCCAGGCGGTGCGGTGGTTGTAACAGCAGACGCGTTCATTTCGTCCTGTGAGAATGTGATTATTTTACGACTCACGTGGAGAGAGGTAACTACAGACGCGCATTAGGAAATGGATCGAGCCGATTGCTCATTCATCTAGCTTTCATCTGAAATCTAGAAGACAAGGCCCCCTTTCGCTCGTGTCTCGTCGAAGAGACGCGATGAGAGGGGGGGTGAGGATGACGGACGGACGAATCGATCATGCATGTGAAGTCCCTTCGGCTCAGGTGGGTCAGGGTCTTCTGCAGCAGTGAGAAGGGTGCATCGAACAATCCAGACATGGCTTTCTTTCCAAGCGAGAATCAATGGTGGAGAATGCTCCGGGCAGGAAACGATGTGAATGCAGTCTATCGTCTTCGTGAAAAATGGGGTCACCTCACCTCGCTTTTGTTCGTGGGAACTTGACATTCCAAAACACTTGAAATGACAGGCACGGAAGCAGGGTGCGTGCACCTCCACCTGGCCCTTCCTGGCAGCAATTGCACCGCTAACATCCAAGCTCTCGTGCAGGGGCTCGTGCGGCTGGCTGCAGCTCATCCGTCATTCGCTCATTCGTGCCTGAGAAATCTTACCCGTTCCTTTCTGCGACCCATCATCCTGTGGTTGATGTCGTGCCACTGGTATCTGCTGACTTTTCCTGACCAGGCAAAACAATCCCCACACCTTTTGACAATGTCTAGGCTAGCTATCCCTGTTCTCGACACAGACTACACCATTAGATGCGGCTTGAGTTCCTCTATAAGCAGACATTTAAATTGTACCCATAATGCGGGTATCCTGCATGCTTATCGAGTTCCAGGCTGTCAGTCTGAGTCGACCCCGGGATCTGTCAGCTCGTTGTTAGGAAGCTCGCCACGTCTTCCTAAGGGGTTTCCTAGCTGTTTGCCACTGGTTTGTGCTTCACGCGGTTCCTGCTGTCAGGATTTCATTGGGTTCACAGCTTTCCGAGCAAGCATGCTTAGCCTAACGGAATCTGCCATCAGGGACTGTCCTAGTCGCACGCAGGTGATAAGATACCCTTGGTGTCTCCAAAGGCAACGGGTGCCTTGGGAATGGAAATCGCGTAAGAAGCTAGAGGCATATATTGCGGGAGAAGAAACAGAACTTCTCACCGCCAGTCTCTGCTCTACATCAGTTCAGCTGATCAGGATGCCTCTTAAGCCACGGACTACGAAGTCTTCAGCCACCATGGTGCCTCTTGAGGATCCGAAGGATCAACCGCTGGAGCAGAATGGCAGCGCGGAGCCTGGAACTAATGCTCCGGCTATCGTCCCGGCTGGAGAGGGTCAAGGCGCTCCCTCTCTTTCGCAGGCTCCTGCTGTGTCTGTTCCGGCACCGGTCGCGCCATCAGCTCCCGCGCCTGCGACGCATGCTCCTGAGGAAGGGGACGACGAAGATGAGGATGAGGATGACGGATACTTAAGTGATGATCCGGATGAAGGCATTGATGTTCAAATGAAGGGTGTGCTCGCGTCCAAGACCCGCATCACGCTGACACTGCTGATTCCGTTTGAGCTGGCGAGTGAGATGCCTGCGGTGAAGCCGTCGGTGAAAGCGCTTCTGGTGTTTCTTAGGAGGAAGCTGTCGGACAACGTGCTGGATGGTGTGGCGTTTCAGGAGCTCCTTCCGACGTACCTGTCCAGGATGCACTTCAGCCGGCTTCAAGTCACGCTTCCCACGGCTGACGATGCTGAGGTTGTCCGCCAGCATCGCGTGGAGCACGTCGTTGGGTCCACCAAGCACCATTTCGGCTGGCAGCACCCGGTTAACCGCTCGTTCCTGAAGGCGAAGAGCGACCTGCCGGAAGGGGAGGAAGTTCTACTCAAGGGGGTTCCTGCGGAGATCACGCCTCTCATTGTTTATGAGTCGTTGGTGGTCGCGAAGCTGCAGAAGCGCGGCCGATCGGCGTTTCTGCAAGGAGCAGGTTTCCATCGTGTGGTCGATCCGGTCTCTGGCCTGGACACGGACAAGATCCGTGGTCTGGTGCTTCCGCATCCCGACGACAAGTACCGTTGGCGTCATCTGGTGGAGGATCCGCTCACTGATGCGACGTTCCTGGTGCACTTTCCATCGTTTTCCTGCTGCTACTGCCAGGGTCAGCATATGGATAAGTTGCACAATGAATACGTGCGTGAGCGTCGCAACAGCATCGCCAAGTGGAACTTGTCGCTAGGCAGGGTCCATGGTATCAACGGTAATGGGGGGGGAATCTTATCAGGGGTTTCCAGCTGCTTACTCTTGCTGTTCCTGCTCGTAATGTCGATGTGATGGGCCCATCGTGCAGCGGCCTCCCTCCAGTTGGCAAGGGTAGTGAAGAAGATTCTCCGGGACCCTGCTCTGGTCCTGATCTCAACGGGACCCAACGCGGAGGAGTGGTTGTGTGTCCAGGAGTGCTGCGACCGTGCACACGGGGAGACCTTCGCGCAGGCTGCAGCTCACATCGGATCCTTTGGTCATGGTGCGGCGTTGGGTGCGGCTGGCGTTGCGACTCGTGCGAGCAAGGCGAAGCAAAGTCTGCAGGCCGCGAAGAAGCTGTACGGGATTCGGGCGGAGACAGCAAAGGCGAAGTGACATGGATGCATGGAGTTAGGTGGCATGTCTGTGTAGCAGGGAGTAGCGGAATAAGCGATGGAGTTGTGTCTGTACCTGTCTGGAGTATATTCGCAGAGCAATGTCAGTAGATCTGCACTGTGGATGCCCGATTGATCCTGGAGAGGGTTACAGGCGCGTTCGCCTGGGGGGTTATGGGCGCACTGACCCGCTACTGAAACAAGCCCTTTTATCCCAATGGTCTAGTGGTTGGGATTCTGACATGGTATCAGAGCGGTCTCGGGTTCGATTCCCGGTGTATGCACATGTAGGCCGTTGCCGCTGTGCTTAGTCCTGGGCCTCCCAGTGTGGGGGGGTGTCAGTAGATCTGCACTGTGGATGCCCGATTGATCCTGGAGAGGGTTACAGGCGCGTTTGCCTGGGGGGTTATGGGCGCACTGACCCGCTACTGAAACAAGCCCTTTTATCCCAATGGTCTAGTGGTTGGGATTCTGACAAGCAATGCACTTACAACACCACCATCACCTCCGGCCCGTGGATGCTAAGGGGCCTATCACAAGTTACAAATGGGTAAACACACCACACTCACCTTCAGCGTCCTGAACGTCAACGGTCTGGGCTGTCTGCAGAAGCAGCAGGACGTTCGGGACTGGATATCGCAGGCAGCCCACATAGCCATCCTGGCTGACACACGGATCCCGGCGGATCATAATTTTTGGAGTCAACTGAGTGCAGACACAGTGGTAGCAGCAACACCAACGGCAAGAGCTGGAGGAGTGGCAATAATCTTACGTAACAATGAGGTGACCTGCACGGACATGGTCAGTGACGTGTCTGGGCGGCTGGCACGTGCAACTCTGTCGTGGAGAGGCGTGGTGTTGACGGTTGTGGCGGCGTATTTTCCGTCGAGCCCAACGGCGAGGGCCCCCTTTTTCCGGGACGTGCTCCGGCCGTTCATCGCGGCGATACCTGCGGGGAGCCAACTCATGCTGGCAGGGGACCTGAACGTGGTGGAGGATCCAGCGATGGACAAAACGTCGGGAGCGGGCTCCAGGGGGGAGAATGACAGACTTATGACGATTTGCAGCAACTTTGATGTTCGGGACGCCTTCCGAGCCCTTCATCCATGTCTGCGGGAATACACATTCTATGCAGCAGCGGTGCAGGAGAGCACGAGAATTGACCGGATTCTGCTCTCGCAGTCGCTGCTTCACCAGGTCCATGAGGTACGGCACGCGGAGCTGGTCAAAAGGTTAACGGATCACTGGTGTGCGGTTCACCTGAAACTCAGTGCGGGGGGAGACGGAGAGTCAGGCCCGGGCCTCTGGAGACTGCCGGCGTCGCAAGTGCCGCGTCCTGGGGTACGGAAGCGGGTGGAGCAGATTGTGCGTAAGAACAAGGACAGAGGGGGGGACTTGGAGTCCCTAACGGCGTCTTTTAGAGTGGGCCTCAAGGCCTACACTGTTGAGGAGAGGAAGCGGGTGGCAGCCACAACGGCGCATCTGGCACGGGAAGTCGGGGACCTGAGACAGAGGGTGATGAGTAAACCCTGGTGCTCGCGGGCGAAGGCGCGGCTTGCGAAGGGAGAAGCCAGGCTTAAGGCGTATGAGGACGGGAGACGCCAGAAGCTGCAGGAGCAAGCGGGTGTCAAGGTTGAAATGAACGGGGAGGCTCCCACGGGTTTCATGACGGCTAAGATTAAGGCGCGGAAGGCACGGACGCGCCTGGTGGACGTGAACTACAACGGGACTCGGCATGAGGGTGCAAAAGAAGCGCTCAAGGCTGCATCAAGCTTCTACGCGGAGTTGTTCGCGGCCAGAGAAGGGCCGGCTAACTCACAACTGGTCTGGGGGCTTGATAGACGCCTTCCCCCTGAGGACGCGGTGGAGTTGTGCGCACCGTGGGAGGAAGCGGAGGTCAAGTGTGCGCTTGCGGAGATGGCGCGGGGCAAGACGCCAGGGCGCGATGGCCTCCCGAAGGAGCTCTGGGAGCTGCAGTGGGACCTGCTGGGTGGGCAGGTGATGCAGTTTCTGAAGGAGTTTGAGCGGACGGGGGTGTTGCCCAAGGAATTCTCAACGGCGGTGACAGTGCTGCTGCATAAGAAGGGGGCTAAGGATGACCTGCAGAATTACCGCCCGATCACATTGCTCAGTACGGCATACAAGGTCATCGCGAAGTTATTGGCGAACAGGATAAAACGCAAACTGGAGAAAGTGGTGTCAGAGGGGCAGTTCGGATTCCTACCTGGCAGAAGTCTGGCGGGCGCAGTGGCGATTGCGGCTGACGTGATAGACGCGGCGAACTCCGGCCAGGAGGACTGGCTCATGCTTCTCGTCGACTTCAGGAAGGCTTTTGACTCGGTGGGACGGGATTACCTGTTTGACGTGTTGCGGCAAATGGGCTTCCCGGAGGCTTATGTGAGATGGGTGGAAGGGCTGCACCATGGGGCGGCGACCCGCATCTGCAACGATGGCTGGCTTGGAGAGGAGGTGCCGGTGCAGACTGGAGTGAGACAAGGCTGTCCCCTCGCGCCGTACCTCTTCCTCTGCGCAGTAGAACCTTTCTGCCAGGAAGCACGAAGGAGATGGTTAGGGATTGATGTCAAGGGCGCGGGAAAGCTCACGTATTTGGGATACGCGGACGATACCACCCTCCTTTTGAAAGATCGGTCGCAGCTGGATGATGCGGAGAGGCTGCTGAAGGACTTTGAGCGTCAGTCTGGGCTGGCGGTGAACTGGGACAAATCCGTGGTGCTGCCGCTTGGGAGACAGCGCGATCTGCCGCCGCCGATTGCTGGGTCGTTCAAGTGGGCGTCGCGGGATGTCCCTGAGCGCCTGCTGGGGGTTTGGATCACGCCGGGAGGGGATGCAAGGCCGTCATGGAGGAAGGCAGTGAGCAGAATAGAAGCGGAGCTGAAAAAGTGGGAGGCGAACTGGCTTCACGGCGGATGTTATTGCAACCGACGGAGGGGTAGCACAAGGACCGGGGGGTGAGGGAACAGGGGCAGTGCCAGTGCCACTACACGAAGCAGCAGCAGCAGCATCAGCACCAGTAGTAGAAGGTGAGAGACCTGCAGAACCAGCAGTGGACGGTGAGAGTGCAGCAGCAGCAGCAGCAGCAGCAGTGGGCGGTGAGGGAAGGAGAAGGGCAGCAGAGGCAGACTGAGTAGTGCACACAGAAGACTGAGATGGTTTTTTGCAAGCAGGTGACATTTGAGTTGGCTGAGAAGCAGATTGAGGAGACAGGCGGCAGAGGCGAAGCGAACAGCCCAGCGAGAGAGCCGAGATGGTTGCTGTGACAGCAGTGTGGGTAGTTTCAGACCCGGACAAGGAATTAAGCCCAGAACACGACAGGTTCCTATGAAAACTACGTGAAAACGTAACACACTTGCGACAGCGTAGGTGAATGACAGAGCAATGGCCAGCTGTGTGACACACGGGGCGTTCCGATTGGTATCCCAATCAAGCCCCGAGGGAAGTGGGGTCTGTAGAGAACTGGTGAGAAAGAGGTGGAGTGAGCCTGACAATAAGTGAAGTTCAGGAAGTGAACCATGAGTCAGTGGTCTCGAAGGGCGTCTTGAGAGTTGTCACGGGGGCTTTGCATGATGGTGGTTGTTTCTGTACAGCAAACCCCCTGATTGTGATGGTTGTGCTGCTGCTGCTGCTGCTGCTGCAGCTGGTACTGCAGCCGCTGTATGACGAACAACTCATGTCCAATGCCAGGTTTTTTAGCCTCTGCGTGGGGAGCAGGAGGGACGGAGGTCACTGCGGACACAAGCCATTCATTTGCGAGGAGAGGGGTATATTGCGAAGTGGCGGCTTTTGCGCACCAAAGAAATGTCAATACAGACACTGCATGTTTGGTGACGGAAAGAGAACACTGCTACTCAAAGAGGCACTGAACAGCAGGGATGGGATGTGCTTCAGAAGTTTTGCACGGCTGGCAAGATGAAGAAGTGAGATGGTTATGCTGGAGGGAAGATGTTTGCTGAGTGGTACGGTGAAACGTGAATCTATAGATGTCACAAAATCAGGACCCCCAGCTTGGAAATTTAAGTAGTTTGATAATGGTCCTACATCCTAGAGTCTCTTGTGAATGCTATTATACAAAAAACTAAAACATATGAATCCTACGGTACGTCTGATTCCTCTGAAGTGTACCTAGCCATTAGGATGCGTGAAGAGGTGTTATGATCTGCGGGCTCCTCGGTTGCTCCACCGGCCAGCATGGCCTTTCAATTGCGCAATCGAGGGCTACGGTTCGCCCTAAATATCGAGGCGCGGCAGCAATGAGAGTTGTACTGACCGTCGATTTCATAAATATCCGTAGATCTCGGCGCCAGCTTGAGGTAAGGAAAATATTGGTTTTCAGCGAATAGGGGCTTTACTCGTGGCGGAGAAAGTGAGTCAAAAGCCCTCAGTTCACACGCCATCATGGAATCTACACGTGGCAGACTCACTGAATCGAGGAGACCAGAGCACGACTGTTCACCTGCTCCATTCCTGCCATGACTTCCCGGGAAGTCGTTCAACCCATCTTCACCGTACAGTAACTTTACTTACCCTGATTTTACCTGCTTCTGTGCGCTACCTACCCCATGTGTTTGTGTGTCTATGTGAGGTGTCATCCAACAACGCGGATCCCACCGAAAGCGGATTCGCCGAAACTGGCAATCCAAAATCCATGGAGGCCTCAGCCGGAAATCCTCCTCATTCTGGTAAGACCAGTCAATCACCTCTTGTATATTCCATGGGCTGCTGCTCAACATCTCATGGGCTGCTGCTCAACATCTCGCCGTGTTGTTCATTTCCTCCAAGCAGACGGTCGGTTTCTTGTATCTTCGCTGCGGACGACTTCTTTTTTCATCCACCTCCACCTTCTCACCGGTACTTCGGTTCTTGAATTCAGACAGAGGCATTAGTATATTATAGACGAATGCAGTCCGTCCGTTATCTGTCAGTCGAGCAGTTCGCTCCGCAAATGCCTTCCGTGGTCCAAGCTCTTGAAAGCTCTGAAGTCAG